TTTCTTCTCTCTCTGCCGTGTGTGTGTGTGTGTGTGTGTGTGTGTGTGTCTTATTGGTTCTATTTCTCAGGATAAGCATGACTAAAACATTAGCCAAAGTGGGGATGATTTATTTTTCCCTAGAGATCATCATACTAAGTGAAGTAAGTCAGACAGAGAAAGACAAGAAAGACAAGTATCATACACTATCACCTATGTGTGAAATTTGTATCCAAATGAACTTATTTACAAATCAGAAATATACTCACAGATATAGAAAACACACTTATGGCTACCAAAGGGGAAATTGGAGGAGGAATAAATGGGAACAAGCTTAACAGATACATACTACTACATACCAAACTGATAAGCAAGGACCTACTGCACAGCACAGGGAACTATATTCAACACCTTGTAGTAACCTATCATGGAAAAGAGTCTAAAAAACGACAGATAGACAGACAGACAGGATGGATGTATAGATGATAGACAGACAGACAGACAGGATGGATGGATAGATAGACAGACAGACAGACAGGATGGATGTATAGATAGACAGACAGACAGGATGGATGTATAGATAGATAGACAGGATGGATGTATAAATGTATAGATAGATGGATAGACAGACAGACAGGATGGATAGATAGATGATAGATAGACAGACAGATAGATAGGTAGATAGATGATAGATAGACAGGTAGATGATAGATGATAGGAAGAAAGACAGAATAACCGAATCACTTTGCTTTATACCTGAAACATGGTAAATCAACTATATCTCAATTTTTTTAAAAAAAGGACAGTATTGTTTAGGAATATGGTAAAGTAAAAAACAAAACACACAAAAGCCCCAGAAAAACTAGTATGAGCCACGGGCACCCCAACATTATGAATAAACTCAGGGGCAAAGAAACAGCAGTGAGACCAGAGCTACTCACAGCCACGCGGGTCCAGCGAGCGCACGGCCCCTGGCGGAGGTCCTGCCTCCCAGGCTCCCATCCTGCCCAGTGTGGCCGCGTGGCTAAGCTCACGTGAACGGCATGTGAGGGGAACTGATGTAGCCCCAGGACATCTCATTAGAGATGAAGTTACCGTCCACTTTTATCGCCATGGACGAGCACCACCTCTGAAAGACGCTGGGGTGAGAAGATGGAAGAAACCGAGGCCCTGGCTGGCCTCATGGAGCCGAGCTTCCACGCCAGTGTGGGCGGCTCACCTCCTGCTCACCTCCCGTGGAGAGAGTGCGCTCCCCGCTGTCAGTCACAACCTGTTGGAGTCTTTCTGCTCCAGCAGGTTAGGGCGTATCGTTACTGAAACAGGCGCCCGGCATTAAGCACAGGGGGATCCTGCAGGTCCCTCCAAGGGGATGGAAGGGACGCCTGCCTTCTGTGTTCACTGTGGCAGCCCTGGAGAACCGAATAGTATCTGCGCGTAGCAGGTCCTCAGCAAATAGGTGCTGAGTGGATAAACAGTGGGAGTAAGTGCCAGACTGGAACTGAAAGGAAGGGAAGAAGCAGGCAGGAGCATGTGTTACATCTCTGTTACACGGATGCACTGGCGAGAAGACGGGGACTCGGAGGAACCGTCCGTGTGTCCACGTGCACGAGCATGGAGGCACGTGTGTGCGCATGTAACACGGGGAAGGCGAGGGCAGAGTTAAACAATAATAGCACGAGCACAATAAGTGGAAGGAGTGAGACACAGAAGAAATCGGGTACCACACAGTCTCGAGAACATCCTGACAGCCTTTCCGGGGGAAGGTACTTTCCTACTGTTGCTGGAGGGGGAGAAGGAGCCACGGCGCCCAGCTAACAGACGGGCTGAGGGCAGAGGGCCACCCGGAGGGCAGGGAGGGCGCTGACCCACCCCCAGGCGCTCGGTGCGAGGGGCAAGGAGACGGCACGTGGGCTCTGCTGGAGGGGGTCCCAAGGGAGGTGAGTTCTCAGGAGCCCCCCAATCCACGGTTATGGAGGCAGAAGGGACCTGAGGGGAGCCTGCAAGGAGGCGGGGCAGGGTGGAGGGCGAGAGCGGTGCCGGCAGGCTGCTGTCGGGGAGGGCATGTGGGGCACGAAGGTGGGACGGTCCCAGGCGCCGGCAAGGCCGCGCTCTGGGTGAGGACGGGCAGGAGGCAGTGCGCACGCCGGGTCTGGTGGTCCCGCCAGGCGCGGCCGCTGTGTGCTCTCCTTGGGTCGGCAAATCTGTCTGACGGCTGTGACTCCATCTTTCATCCTTGGCTAAGACTCTACCGTATTTTCCGGAACAATCTGTGTGTTGACGATTAAACGCGGTCAGCCTGAGATGGCCGATCCTTTATCAGCCAACTGCTGTTTCTTTCCTAGATGCACGCGAACTGTCATCTGGACACCGTCTGCCCTGGACTCTGGCCAGTGATGACCGTCACGTTCACCGCTTTAGGAAGGAAGGCACTGGCCTTTCAGAACCGACCTCGCCTGGCCATCCACGGGCTTCGGACACTCTTCATTTCACAGTCGTGGACTGAAATACGCATCTAATCAGTGAGAAACGCCTTCCAGGCCAGGAGACGGGGACCCACGCTGAGCTTCAAAGGCGGCTTTACACTGCCTGGTTCTGCTTCCTAGGACTCCTACCCCGTGTGTCCCCAAGCAAGAAAGCTGGGGGCCTGAGAATAGTCTTCTGGGTCCGGGCTCTGCCACTTGCCAGCCCGGCGACCTTGAGGAGCTCACGGGGACGCCAGGCGCCGTAACGCCTTCATCTTAGAGACGGGGGTCCGTGCCCTAGGCCGCCTTCCTGTGGTCACTGTGTGAGACCTACGTGATCTCACGTTCACAGCGGAACGGACGTGCGACAACCCCTGACTTTCCACTGTCCCAGGCACAGCGTAAGACGACTCGTGTGTCTGCAAGCGCTTTCCCCAAGTCGGGCCGGTTCTCCGCGATGCTGTGCTGAGGGAGCGGCTCACTCGTGGCCCCACCGGCGCGCCTGCCTCTGCCCGTGCTTTTCCCAGCAGCCCCGGGAAGCTGCCTGCGGGATCAGGCTGGATTTTTAAAAACAATTTCTCCGTCTTCCTTTTCACTAGGACATGTGACGTTGCGTTGCCAAAACTGCGCGCAGAGAACGTCTCCACTCCTGGTGAGTCATTTCCCTCAGACTTTGTCACCGTACCTGCTTCGTAAGACCTGCCTCCCGGGAAGATCGGGACGCGATCCCACCGCCCGGCTCTTCCCCCTGACGCGACGGTGCCCCCATCCTCCCTCGATGAACCTCTTCCACCTCCTTCCTTGTGGACTTTACCCTGGGCTCACAGACTCTGCAGCAACCAATCACAGCCCTCTGGGGCCCCGTGCGTGCAGCACTGTTTGGTCTGACCCCATGATCGTCTGTCTCTGCATCTGCTGAACTTTCACAGTCACGTTCTAACCGTGCCTCATCTCACCAAGCAAGAGGGCAAGCCACACTAGCACCTAGGTTACCGTTCTGGGTCTACGACCCACGGAGTGTGTACTCACGGGTGGGTGTCACACCCCCGCACAGCCATCAGAGCCCCCTTTCTCAATGATGCCCTCACAGGGGTGACCGGACATGTTTCAAATGTGAATTATCTCTGTGTGATACCGCAGGCCCCACGAGAGGTGAGTTTCTCCACAGGAGGGCTGACAGCTTTGGACGGACATTCTAGCTTGTACACAGGGCTCAAGTCACACGAGCTGAGACCAGTTCTAGGTGCAAAGAATACACGTGTCACCTTCCTGAGGAAGCGCAGAACATGGCCCGAGCAAGCTGCACGTCAACCCGACAGAGACGCGGCCTCGAAGGGCAGTGAGTCTGTCAGCGGCGCGAAAGCCCCCGCGCAGTGTGTCACAGGAGCGAGGCTGACCCCCCGGAGCGCGGCATTGCAAACACATCTTTTTTCCTCTCAAGCACTCCTCTTGGTTGCTCGAAATTTTTTCACGGAAAAAATACAAAGACGACGAAACAGTGAGACGAAGGGTGTGAAATCTAAGAACCAGGGTTTCGTTAAGAAGGCAAAGCTGTGTTGACTGTGATTACAATTCAGAAAAGCGGGCAGCTTCCAATTTCTTGTCTGCAATTCAATTAACCTGATGTGCACCTGTCTGCCTTCAGTTGTTCATTTTTTCCACTTGAGAAAAAGACAAAAGGAGAATGAAATAAACTGAGAGAGTATGAAATGAGACGGATTTAAAACATGGAATAGTTTGACACTTGCTCCTGAGGGAACATGGTTTGGGTCCTACACTCCATTCTTCTCCCTGCTGTCTTCAGGAGACTTACATCAATTCTGGATTCTATTTTCATTCTTTGCAAGAAATTGGCTCACATTCCTC